GCGGAGGTCGAAGCAGATGAGGGAGCCGACGCGGCCGACGGCGGTGGGGAACGGAGCGGTCAGGGCGGGGCCGGCCTGGACGGTGGCGGACTCGCGGAGGGCGCCGTAGTCGAAGAGGTGAAGCTTGTCGTAGGTCGCGGCGGCGTTGACGGAGCCGTCTGCGTCGATCCAGAGGCTGCGGTTGAGGAGTCGGGGGCCGCCGCCGGGGGAGGGTGGCGAGGGCGGGGCCGGGACGTGGATGCCGACGTTGACGGCGAGCGAGTGCTGCTTTGCCGCTTCTTGGAGGCCGAGGACGAAGGGGGATGTGGACTCGGGCTGGGCGAGGGAGAGAGATTCCTGGGGGCTGGACGCGATGTAGTCTGCGGCCTCGGGGAGGAAGAGGACCTTGCGGGTGTCAGTTGGGGATGACTTTGTTGCGGGACGTCTTTTATGAGGCGTTGGCAACGAGCATGTCTCTCTGCCTTCGCGACGACTCAGAACGAGTGTTTTGGGGAAGAAAGCCATACCTTTGCGCCACCAACAGCGGCCTTGGCGACTAGTTTGACGCACTGCTCGAGGTTATGCGCCAGCGACGCGGTTGAGCATATCTGACCGACAGCCTGTGTGATGCCAAGACGTCAGTAGAGTTGCGGCTACACCACGTGGCCTTGCGTCGAGATGTGGCAGACCGTACCGCGATCGCCATTGTCTGGGAGTGAGATGGGACGATATGTTAAGACCTGGGATTGTCCTGGGATGAGACACATGAACGTTGGGATCTGAGATGGTGTGGGTGCGAGTGTACAGCACCACGTGGCGGGGAACAACGTTCAAAAGAAACAAGAGGACCACAGGTCAGAGGTGGATGATGGTTCATGCAAGTTTGACGAAAGTCAAGGTTGTCGATGAAGAGGTGAGTGATGCCGTTCATCGGCATGTTTCCTGCCTTATCGCTTATCTTGCGGTGGGTTGCAGCGGGGTAGACTTGGTGTCGCCATCCCGACCGTCTTTCCCGCGGTCAATGACAACATCAGATGAGACAAGCCTTTTCATTAATCAACTCGGTCAAGTCGATGGCATTGGAACGCCCTATGAAGTGAGTCGCTGGGCCTGGCTAGTCCTTGGACTCAGTACCACTCATCAGCATCGTGCTCCCCATCCAACTTCCCCTCCTTCTCCAACCGTGCCAACGTCTCCTTGCATCTCGCAACCACGGCCTTGCCGTACTCCGGCCCGATCGGCGGTGACGGCTTACTGGTATCGTGCCTCAGCCAAGGTACCTTCTTCTTGACGCCCCCAGCCCCAGCGACGCCCTTCTTGATGGTCTCGAGCGCCTCGTCGTCGAACGCAGCCCCGAGGATGATGGCGCGGGGTGGGACGGAGTAGTTCCCCGTCCCGATGGCGCTCGAGTCCGGGTGGGACGGCGGGGTCTGTCCCGTTAGAATCGCCGGGATGATGGCGGCTCCTGAGGCGGGCGTCAAGATGAAGTGGACGACTGCGTTTTGGGGGGAAAAGGTGTGAGCGGATCGGCCCGTCATCGATGCAGCCCGGGTGTGCCAGACGACAGAAGCTTACCTTCATATTCCGGCTTCAGGCCTTCGATGACGACACGGCCGACGACCTCCGCCTTGCCGCAGACGACGACGGGGATCGGTGCCTTGTTCGTCTCGGAATCCATCCCGAGCAGTTCGCGCAGTGAGGACGGCGCGTCTTGTTGGTTCTCGGCGTCTTCTCTTGCTTTTATCTGCCATTCATGCATATCTCTTTTGGGTAATTGTCACTGTTGATGTTACTCTTGGATCCTCGATTGTTGTTCGCTGCGAGTTGCCAAAGTGCCCTCGATTGAGAGGGCGACAATCGCTCTTTAAATGCAATGTCTCACGTCAGACTCGGTTAGTTGCCGTAGTCCGCGGTCTTCAAAGTCGCCCTCGGTGCCGAAACTCCACGGAATTAACGCAGCGATCAATTGCTCCGAATCCACGCTGGCGTTGGCCGACATGTGTTGTGTCACCCAGTTTGCATGAACCATTTCTCTCGTATTGGTTTTGTGCTTGATTCTTCAATTACAGTCCTCTTAACTATTATGATTATGACGTAGATGGCTGGCTCCATCACACGACTTTATGCAATGCACTTCTGTATTTACATGCCAGGCTAATCGCCTAGATTAGGCAACCCAGACCATTCTGGTACAGGAAATCAGACATCTTGCTCGTCACCTCAACGTGAGAAGTGCTCTGTTGGGTGGTTAGCATTGTGTCCGCCCACGATTCAAGGGGGTCAACTTACGAAAGCCAAGCCGTGTCCAGCCTTGGGAACAATGTACGCCTCGAAAGCGCTGGCATTCTTGAAAATCATACCCGACGACGCCGGGATCGAGGGCAGATCCGGGTTGCCCGTCGCGAGGCAGTTTCCTCCGCAGAACGGAATATCTCTCTCTGCAGGAGACCGTCAGCGTCTAATCACCAATATTCACAACAGTCGTGGACTTACCACCAGTGACAATGAGGACAGGCCCCTTGAACGCGTTGGGCGACGCAGCCTCGCCGCCAACAGTCAACAACTCGCCCACCGTGACCGGCTGTCCCGCCTCGTACACGGCCGTCAGGATCTCCGGCTCGAAGTTGTCCGGCCCGAAGAAGTTGACCTGCACGCCACCCTCGTACGCGGACGCAATGTACCCGTCCGCGTAGTTGCTCAGCGCCGGCACCTGGTTCGCCTGGATGAAGGCGCCGCCGAGGATGAAGTCCGCCAGGAACGACCCGTTCTGCGCGAAGCCCGTCAGAATGATGCCGTCCGAGACGTCCGGGTACAGTGCCGTCAGCGCGTAGCTGTGCGCGGAGCCGAACGAGTGGCCGACGTGCACGACCTTGGCGAACTTGCGGTCCTCGAGGCCTGGAAGGGTGCTGTCGCGGACCTTGTCGGTCAGGGCCTTGAGGGCGGCGACCTCGAGCATGGCCTGGATCTCGTTGACGGGCTCGCCGTGCGAGGACTGCGCGATGCCGAGGCGGTCCCAGGTCAGCGTCGAGAAGCCGTAGTCGTCGACGACGGGGCCGACGTAGCTGTACTCGCCGCCCTTAGCCGAGAAGTCCCAGTAGCTCCTGTCGAAGCCGATTCCATGGGTCAAAATCTGGATGACGGCGCCCGGGCCGGCGTCGGGCTCGCAGTAGGTCGAGGCCAGCTGGTAGGTTCCGCTGACGTCGGCATACTGTTTGAGTTGTTAGTTGAGGGCTCCGGTCGGTGAGCAAGCTTGAGAGTGCTGGTTCGCATCGACTTACATCTTTCAGTACTGTCGCGGTGTAGTTGGCCCCTTGTTGTGAGAGGTCAAGCAAGAAGTTGGTCACTTCGACATTCGTCTTGGGGACCTCGATATCGAAGACGGCGTTCCGTGCCGAGATGTCGACTTCGACAGTGATGTTCTTGCACATCCTGGCCGAGGCCAGAGCCGCAAAGGCCAGGGGTAGTGTTGTTGAAATTAGGTTTACCATTGTGATGAATTGTGTTGCACTTCGTCGTATGTAATGCTCACAGTAGTTGATCTGGGCTGCGTCGTGATAATCCAAGACAATCAAGAATTGGGACATGGACCAGGCTCGCGGGTTATATACGTAAAATGCCGAGAGGCCGCGATCATCGTCCTCCTCTCCGCAACAAGCTGACAGGCAAATTGTGATAAGCCCCCGACCCGTAGTCAGGACCCATCACCACCGGGCCAGCCGCCTGCGCACGCATGATGTCAACAGTCATTCCTTAAGCCTCGGTATCGATGGAATTGGGCTCAATGAACTCACCGTTTAAAGCCAGCCGTAGCCATCCAGGCACCTGGCCGCGGTCCGGTTGTCGTCCTAGGCTTGAGCCAGCCGGACTAGCCGTCTAGCGTGCCAAAAGCCAAGCTACAACTTTTCTGGAATGTTTTTGCGTTTCAAAGGAACCTTGAAAGTGTAAACACGCTTTGTGGGTGGTATCTAATAATTCCATATATCCTGCATGCTCCTTCCCGCGGAGTTTGCTCCGCCTCGACCGCGCTTCGCTGCGCCCAATCCCAAGAACAAGCATCGTTAGCCTTCAACACCACAGCAAACAGATGCCGGATAGGCTATTTGAGATATTTCAAATTGTCGCAGATCTCACTTCGCGTGCGCTTAGTGAGCGACTGCTAGCCCGCAACAGATGCGCAAGATGACGGCACCACCAGGTGGACTTCCACTCAACCCGTCCTAGCTCTTAGCGGCAACGCCTCAGCCGGGCGCCGTCGACATCAAAGACTGCTGGACCCCGAGTTTCTTTGCCCAAATTGTTAAGGTTATTTGTCACAACCATCCTGATTTACTAAAAAACAAAAAACAAAAAAACACTGCAGACTGCAGGATCAAGGGTTCGACAAACCCACAAGATGGCTCGAGGCACCTGCTTGCCCAAGCTCTAAGCCATTGACAACTAGCGGGCCCTCTCACGATCACTAAACTGTCAAAGATCGCCGGGGAAAATGCCCGACACGTTGACCAGCCCACGGGCGCTGCTCCGCCTGACTCCGGCAGATGAGAGGCGTTGAGGCTCCGATAGATCCGGGAGTATTAGTCAGGATGATCTGCAAGTCGGGCATAGTCCGGGCCAAATTGTGACGGATGCTTGAGATTGTTCTTGTCGAACAGATTCAACATTTTTTGTTCGATGCAGCTTTGTTCGCTCAAGATGTATGGCACCCAGAATTTCCATTGTTGTTTGGCTGTTGATGGAGCAAGCAGTCCGGATTGTGAGACTTGGTCGTTGTGAGTGGGGACTCGAGACACTGATATCGGGAGTGACCAGCGGCGTTCTTCGTAAAACTGGTGACTTATATTAATCTGCCAAACAGCATATTGGGCATTGCAGAAGTCCGAGTTGCGATGTCATGAAAGTGATAGTCATATATGTACGCGCACGTCCTTAGGTGACGCGCTAGACTATATATTTTGAGTATTTACGCAGTCTCTCAAAGCTAAAGTATCTTTCATTATGCATTATACGAAGCCTCTAGGTACTTAAAGAAGCTTCCTGCTCTTGCTGGAATCAAGTCCTCGTCGCCTCCTGCAAGGAGGAGCGGTCTTGTTCTTCAATGCCTCCAAGGCACCGTCATAGGCGGGGTGCTTGCTGAAGTCGTCAAACCAGAGAAGGGCCGCGCCCTCACCCTCAAAGGTGTAGGGAACCCAGCTGAAAGGGTCGTAGAAGTCCCAGATAGTGATTCCGACGCACGCGGGGACTTGGACACAGGCTCCAACGGACTATTTGGCGTGTTAGTGTCAAGCAAAATTTTGAGACTTGTGGTCCTCTACTTACAGCCTTGTAGGCCTCTTTCTGCCACTCCAAGTTGGTCTCGTTGACGGGAAGCTCGATCCTGACGTCCAACTCAGTCAGGGCGACCTCGACGCCGAGCTCGGCGTAGCTGCTGATGACCTCAATCTGCTGGTCCAGAGTCGGCGCGCGGTGGGCGACCAAGTGAGCCTGCATGCCGATGCCGTCGATCCTGATGCCGTCAGCCTGGAGCATCTTGACGATGCCCCTGGCCGCCTCGCTCTTGGCGCTGACGCTCTCCAGGTTGTAGTCGTTGTAGTAGAGCTTCGCGTCTGGGTCGACCTCGGCCGCCGTGCGGAACGCCAGCTTAATGTAGTCCTCGCCGAGCACCTTGTAAAACACCGACTGGCGCCATGTGCCGTCGTCCTCGAGCGCCTCGTTGACGACGTCCCAGGCGTAGCAGCGGCCCTTCCAGTGGCCCGCAACGTTTGTAATGTGTCGGACAATCACCTCCTCGAGCTCCTCGGGTGTCCACTCGGTAGTTTCGACCCAGGGGGCCAGCTGGCTGTGCCAGACGAGGGCGTGGCAGCGAAGGAGTTGGCCGTTCTCCTCGGCGATGGAGGAGACGATCTCGCCCTCGGTGTAGTTGAAGACGCCGGGCTCGGGCTCGGTGAAGAGCCACTGGGCGTGATGTTAGTTGATTCGGGAGGCACTCGACAGAGTAGGTGACTGACCTTCTGCCCGTTGGTCGGGGTGGTCTGGCCAAACTCATTGATGTCATCTAAGATGGCATCGTACTGGGTGTAGGAGGCCTCCAGACCTGCGCGTTCACGCTGTCCCGGAGAGTCGGTCGCGGCACCAAAGTAAAGCAGGCCGGCTTTCTTGGCGTAGTACTCGAGCTGGGCCGAGGCCAACGGCAGCGATGCCGCCAGCAGTGGCACGGTGAGAGACTGAAGGTGCATGATGACCGCGGACCGAGTGAAGAAGACCTTTCTCTAGAGACTGAGACGGGGAGGTGAAGGACAATAGTATCAGCAGCTCCAGGTGCACGGGAAGACAGCTCAATTCATATATGCAAGGTCCCATGCAACACCGTTCCCCATCTTTACCCCAATTTCGCAGCCGACGGGACGAGAATGCTCTCCGGATCATCCAACATGGCGGAGGCGAAGCCGGGGATATTGCTAGCCCCAGGTGACGTCCTCCAAGTGAGGAGAACCTGGTCTGGCGTCGCCCACCGTCTTGGGCCCAAGACCTGCAGGCCTGGGTAGCATTCTTGTTGTTTGGGTAAACAAGTTAGAGGGCCGCTTGGCCCGTTGGACTCAAGACGTATGAGAGATGGTGAAGGGAATACCGGTGATGTGGGTTATGAACCAAGAGCGCTAGAACAGGAGCTCATTCCGGCGAGAACCAGAAGTTTAGAGGTGCCGGTTGAACAGAGCCAATAGTGCGACCACGGCTAGCGGGTGGCAGGGGTCGTCCCTGGCATGAACATCTCCATCTCCGGCTGGGGCGAAGGGAAACCGGTCAATCAGGCTGTCTGCGGTTAAATTAGAGTTGCAATTGCAAGATGCGCCAGCTATTTATCCTAATAGCCACCTCGGGTAGTCCCCAACGTTCCCCCTCACGCAGTCCGCGGAGGTGTGGAGAATCCTTGTCGGACATGAATTGAACCATTGACTTTGTGATGTTGTGACGGCAACGTTTTCCCCCCCTCTCTTGGCTTGATGTCTTGATGATAGTAACTTGTCGGTGAAGGCCGAAATCAGAACAGTGATAATATCGTCATGGGTCGAAATTCTGGTTAACGTGGGTAAATTGCCAAGTCTTTTGGTCGGTAAGGTATTCAACGGCTGGTTTCAATGTGTGTTTTCGTCTGTTGATGACGCCTTCTCTTGACTGGCTGCTGCTGCAATAATGGCTTTTTTTTTTTTTTTTTTTTTTTTTTTTTGGGGGGGGTTTNAATGGTTTTTTTTTTTTTTTTTTTTTTTTTTTTTTTGGCAGTCGATCTGAGTTTTTCCTCCCGAGAGCTTACTGGGCCTGTCATTGTTCTCGTGAATGCAATCTATATTTCTGCCGCCGCCATCCTCTTCCTCGTCCACGTCCTTAGAAACCCCAGATCGGACGGGATACGCCGCAGGACGGCTGAGACGGGCGTTCAGATGAACGAAGTAGAAGCGTGAGGAGTGAATGAACCTTTGTTCATGCGACTCCACACCTGGGAACTGGTAGCCTCTTATTGACATGCGCTCCGTGATGAGAGATGTGCCGATATTCTGACCGACGCTTTCCACCAAGAGACTCAAAACCAGCCTACCCTTCTGTCAGGTCGGCTGCTATCTCGATCGTTTCGAACGGCGCGTCTCTGTGGTTTGTATGCTGCTTCGGGACTGAGCGACATGGTGAGGTGTTTCCGACTGATGCGACCGATTTTTTTCGCGACAAGTCTGGTGATCTCCATCATTCAGCGTTGGCCGAATGACACGTTATGTGAAATACCGCGACCCGGCGGGTTTCGTCGCAGCGCTTTTGTCTGCCATGCCGGTGATGTTCCTAAGGATGCCTCGTCCCGAACGCTCATGTTGATACTGTGCCAGTGACAGAGCAGCCGCCGGCCTCAGGTTTCCTAGCTGCAAATGTACCAAACCGAGCTAGCCTCCAAGAGATGCATTCCCGGTCTCGTTGGACGATCGAACGTTGGGCGATCCAAGGCGCATGCGAAGGCCTCCAAGAGAGCAACTCGTTGCACTTGAGACCCACCACTTCGGTCTTTGCCCAGAAGTCTCAGAAATTGCTTCGACGGCCTTGAGCCGTCGCGAAGGACAACTTCCCCTATGAAGTATGCTCTGTCCCGACGGGCTCGGGCCTCTGCCCAAACATGATCTTGTACTTGACAATCTCAGCAATTTCCAGCTCCTCCTCCGTCTCGCCGTTGGCACTAATCTTCGCCTCTCCCTTGCGACGAACAATGGCCATCGCCTTTGGTAGTTTCTTGACTTCGCCGCTGAGTCTCTGGTGCTGACCGACGTAGAGGAAGACCCGCTTCATCCAAGCTGTGCTGTCATCTCCAGGATGGTATTCCGGGAATACGATTCTGCCAACGGGGACCTCGGGCGCGGTCTTATCACCCTCGCCATCGGCATTGAAATGAGGCAGATTGATTGTGCCTTGCATCTCAAGCAGTGCAAGTCCTGATGGGGTCTTGATGGTTTGCGGCAAAGGGTTGTCAGACCCTGGAGAACCCTTTTTGGGCGGGTAGATCTTGACTTCCGACATGGCGGATGATCGCTCGAGGTGCGTCGATATTTGAAGTTCCAAGAAGCGTCGGGAGTGTATGATGTCCGCAGCTGGTGATGACCGGGAATCTTGTCAATGAGATGGACTGGGATGTGACGATGTCGAGATTACCTAAGAAAGAGCGCGTCTGGTGGGGTACGTACTTTCCGGAATCCTCAGTCACGTGAGAAAAAGCTCGATCCACGTCGACTTACCGCCGCCAGACCTGGACCCGGCTCAGTTCGTTCTGATTGGCCGGTCAGCTCCCCAGCCCTGAGGCCCCTAGCGACACACACATCTCGAATTTCGGCCATTTTCACTTTTCACTCTTTTTTCCCAACTAACCGCAGCCAGTCGACAACTTCACGACCCTCATCCCCAACCCGCCGGCAAGATGAAGGTAAGAAATCACCACTCCTCACGAGCACGACGAGCAGAGAAGGAGAATTGCGATCACGTCAATTCAAATTTGCTGCTGTCGCTGCATGACCGCCAAATTTTCGGCGGGGAAAACTTTCGAGAAAATTGACAGGCGCTGACCATTTTTCCGCAAATAGTTGAACATCTCCTACCCTGCCAATGGCAGCCAGAAGCTCATCGAGATTGAGGATGAGCGCAAGCTCCGTGTCTTCATGGAGAAGCGCGTATGTTTTTCCTCTCTCCCTCGCGCGAAAGACCTCGTCGACACCGAACAGACGACCCGAGTCGAAGCAGCGATAGGCAACAAACACATAGACTAACAATCACAACAGATGGGCGCTGAGGTCCCCGGTGACTCCGTCGGCGACGAGTTCAAGGGCTACATCTTCAAGATCACCGGCGGCAACGACAAGCAGGGTTTCCCCATGAAGCAGGGTGTCATGCACCCTACCCGTGTCCGCCTCCTCCTCTCCGACGGCCACTCCTGCTACCGCCCCCGCCGCACCGGTGAGCGCAAGCGCAAGTCCGTCCGCGGCTGCATCGTCGGCATGGACCTCTCCGTCCTTGCTCTCTCCGTCGTGAAGCAGGGCGAGGCCGACATCCCCGGCCTGACCGACGTCGTCCACCCCAAGCGCCTCGGCCCCAAGCGCGCCACCAAGATCCGCAAGTTCTTCAGCCTCACCAAGGATGACGATGTATGTGTGCTCCTTTCGCAGTGTCCCCGCTCCGGGAACATCAGCCACTTCGTCATCGCCTACCAACGGTGCTGCGGTGGAGGATTTCAGCAGACCAGGTAGAGTGTGAGAGACGGGACCGTGTTTCCCATCCCTTTTCCTTCCCGAAACCCCACTTCTTGCTCTTTGTTGCGTTGCCTTTCCTCAGGAACCCAGAATCTTTTCCCGACTCGAATACTTGTGAAGCCCACGAGAGCTCAAGATTTGCGTTACGAAGAGAGGAGGACCTTCGAGGGAAAGAGCAGTCACATGAGGAAGAAGGGGGGCCAACGGAAAGAAGGGGAAGGGAAGCACGCGTCGGCTTTTGCTATCCAAATCACAGACCCAAAACCTGCAGTTGCTAACCTAGGCACTCTTTGCCGTAACTCATAGGTCCGCAAGTACGTCATCCGCCGCGAGGTCCAGCCCAAGGGCGAGGGCAAGAAGCCTTACACCAAGGCCCCCAAGATCCAGAGACTCGTCACCCCCCAGCGTCTCCAGCACAAGCGCCACCGCATCGCCCTCAAGCGCCGCCAGGCCGAGAAGGTCAAGGACGAGGCTGTACGTTTTCTTCTACTGGTTCTTCGTCCTAGGATCATTGACGCTGACTCCCTCTGCAGAACGAATACGCCCAGATCCTCGCCAAGCGTGTCGCTGAGCGCAAGGCCGAGAAGGCCGACGCCCGCAAGCGCCGTGCCTCCTCCATGCGCAAGTAAATCTAACCCTTGCGTATGGCGTTGGTTCAGGTGGGAAAAATGTGAAAAGGTAACGAATCACTACTTGGGGTCCCTTCTGGTTTCTCTTGCATCCGGCGTGGGAACGGGAAACGTTTTTCAAAAAAGACGGGGAAAGAAGGATGCGGGACTGGATTAAAGGTCATGAGACCAGTCTTGAGTTCTTTCCTCAGTTCACGAATGTATTAGGGCATTCAAAATGGAAATGCATCCTTGACGCGCAAATACCACAGCGATAAAAGTTTTTGTTTGAGATGTTTCATGACATGTCCCCTCGCATCTTCCTCGGTCGTCGTAATCCTGATATCCCCTCCGCATTATCTCCATGTTAAGGACGCTCATCGACTAGATGTCTGTCGGCCGGGGAGATCTTCTTGGGCTTTGCCTCAAGAAATCTGATCCACACATTTGACGTGGGCCGTTGCTCAACTTCAGGGTCTAAAAATTTCTTACCCCAGACTCACCGCCTGCCTCCAGTTGGAGCCATGGGCTGAGACCCACCTTTGGCTTTCACAGATGCGCAGCAAGTGAGTCGACGTTGAAATTCGACGTTCAGTGGACATCAATATGGGTATCAAGACATGAAGGACGATATTGATTCTACCTCGTGGTATCAGTTCACATGAACCTGGATTTTCTGTCTAAAGCAGTTCGTAATCTGCCTGAAAAAAGCAACCTTGCCTGAATGCTATTTTGTGCCGTGACGCCCACCCCTTTTTTGAAAATGAACAAAAAGAACAACGATGCCCATGATATTGTTCCAATCTTGGGCTACTGCTGCTGCTGCCGGCCCTTGGGAAGAGAAACCTCAGAAAACCATTTGGAAAAAACCTATCCCGATTTCTCCTACACGGGGACGTGGTTGAAGAGGTAGCTGACGCTCTCGCCGTTGTGGGTGCGGCGGATGGCCTCGCCAAGGACCTGGCTGATGTCGATGACGCGCAGCTTGGGGCAGCGCTCGATCTTGTCGCCGAGGGGCACGGTGTTGGTCACGACGATACGGGACAGGCAGCTGTTGTTGAGCGTCTCGACGGCGTTGCCGCTGAGGACGCCGTGGGTGACGATGGCGATGACTGGAACACTAGTGAGCATAAAAGACGATATCGATGAGAAGGAGGAAACCTACCCTCACGAGCACCGGCGTTGTTGAGAGTCTCAGCAGCCCTACAACACAGTTAGCAGATGGAACCGTCGTGAGTGATACGGCTGTCACGAACTTGGCGAGGGTGCCGCAGGTGTCAGCCATGTCGTCAACCAGGATGGCAATCTTGTCTCTGACGTCTCCGACGAGAATCATGCGACCGACGACGTTGGGGCGAGGGCGCTCCTTGTGGATCAGGGCGAAGCCAGTCTCGAGGCGATCGGCAATACCGGTGGCTCGCTTGGCACCGCCGGCGTCGGGGGAGACGATGACGGTGTCCTCGACACTCATGTTGGACTTGATCCACTGGAGCACACTAGGCTCGGCGTACAGGTTGTCGACGGGGATGTTGAAGAATCCCTGGATCTGCGAGGCGTGAAGGTCCATCGTGATGACGTGATTCTGTGTGTCGCGAACAAGAAGAAGAGCGTCAGTCCTCACCGTGTCCCTATTACCGTTCTCCCGCCAGCGGTACTTACGCATCCCGAAACCTGAAGCATGTTCGCAACCAGCTTCGCGCTGATCGGAGCACGACTCTTGTCCTTCTTGTCCTGTCTAGCGTAAGGAAAGCAAGCTGTGTATCTCCTCGTCAGCAGGCAAAACCCCCATGATGTGGAATACGGTGGTACTGACGAATGACGGCGGTGATTCGGCGGGCGGATGCGGTTCTGCAGGCGTGGATCATGATCAGAAGCTCCATGAGGCCGTCGTTGACGTTTCCAGGCTCGCTCGATTGCAGGATGAAGACATCCTCGTCGCGGACGCTCTCGCCAACGGTGACACAGTAAAGACGTCAGTTCAAAAATGCTCCCAAACTCAAGCCGCCCATCTCGGCGAGAGATTGTTCGCTAACCTGGTTTCTTGGTTGGAGTAGTTCAGACTGCAAGGAAGCACAGCGGTCAGCAATCAATTGCGGCAATCGGGAACGCATAGATTTTTTTCGGTTTTGTTTGTGGCAGTCGGCGCGCGCGGGAGAATCGTGATCGCTCGGCGAAGAGGAGGGGGAATCGCTCACCTCATAGTCTTCGCAAGAGGAATTCCAAGACTGTCGCGGCGCAAAATCGCAGGTCAGCAAGAGTCATTTTCCGCCGAGCCGTTCAATTGAAGAAGGAGAGACATACCGCTGTGCGACCTTCTGGGACAGCTCCCCGTGGGAACTGCCCTTCAGCAGCTTGATATCGTTCGCCATGTCCCCCATGAGGTCGGTCGTAAGTGTGACGACGGGAAGAAGAGGAAAAAAAGAAAAGAGGTCGAGAGGGGGTGGCTGGTCGCGTAAATAGGCAAGGCCTGCAGTACCTGCTGATGTTTGCAGGCTAAGGTCGAGTTGCTCGGCGAATCGAAACGCAGCGCGGGGTCACGATGGAGGGGTATGGCTATCGGTCGTTCGGAGTCGCACCCAGTTGTCTTTGGAAAATGTTGTGAGACGTGTGGTGGTTATGCGCCAGAGTAGCACGGCAAGATGGTTTCTGGGGTGTGAGAACAAGAGGGTCGCGTTCAGTTGTCAACAACCAGATTGCAGATTTTCTTGTCAATTGTGAACTTTGCGGTTGTCACTGGAGAATACTGCGGGAGGGAAAGGAAAGGAAAAAAAAAAAAAAAAAAGAGGACTAGCGCCCTGCCGTCATTGTTCCGCCATCGCTGAGAGGTCAAAATGGTCTGTGGAGAACAAGCAAGGGTCCCCAGGTCCTCGGCTCTTCTTCACATTGGACCACCTTTTGAGTGCTGGTTACCATACCTTCACACAAAGTCTTTTGGAAAGAGCTCCTCTGTACTAGATGGACCACTTTAAACGTACTTTGTAAGATTTGGACTTATAGAAGAGAAAACAAGCCACGTTCCCACTCAGCAACTCCAGGAGTTCCCTATTCTGACTTTCGTGTGGCTTGCTCACTTACAGCAGATCCAGGCCTGTTTCCCTTCGACCTCTCCTCTTCGGAAAGGCCCGTGCTGGCCGTCAAGCATTCGACCACTCAGATGCATTTTGGGGTAGCAATTTAGCTGCAGCCATCAACCGTTGAAGCTCTGTCACAAACTTTGATGCACTATAGCACAGAACCAGGAATTGTCATCTAGTGGACTTGTTGAGTACTCTACATACTAAGCCACCAAAATCAAGAATACTACCTTGTGTTCCAAGCAGCCTGCACTCCGCGAGGACACAGCCAGCATCTCGCGCTTGGGGCCGAAACAAAATGAAATGACGAGAGCATCGGGCCTTGATCGCCTTCGCCTCAAACATATGTACATGCGGCCCAGGGTCCAATGATGATGCATCTCCGCTGAATAACACACACAAGTCATCCACTCCAGTAACCGTGTCCTGTGTCGCCCTTCCTCAATAATGCAAATGCTCACGTAATCGCAATTACCATGGTCTATGTCTGCGCGTTCCCGTCTTATGCAAAGCCGAAGTAGTCGCTTCCCGCCGTGATGGCCTTCATGACTTGTGCGCGAAGCGTCTCGTAGCTCTCGTACTCAGGGAGATCAAGTTCTGTGTAACTTCGTTAGTCAACTGTCATTAATGTTGTATCTATGGGGAACACTTACGGTTGAAGCATGTGTGAGAGCTGGGAAGGCGCTCCTTATTGCCGTAGTCCCGATGGATATTGAAACGGTTAATCCCATTCATGCCCTCCAATTCCTTGAATCCATTGAGAGGCACCTTACTGGTGCCGGTGACGAATTGCAACAGCTTAGCCCGCTCTTCCTTGTCAAATGACCGAATCGCTCGCCAAAACCACTGAATTTGCTGAGAAGATGGGGTGTAGTTGTGGTACTCCGTGTTGCTCTTCCAATCATCGACGTCGATGTCAGGCAAGCCCGAGATGAGCAGTTCGAGCTCCTGTTCGTTGAAGATAGAAATGAGGTCGGCCGGAATGATGTCGTGGAAACCCTTGAGGAAGTGCTCCATCTGTTCCCGGACCGAAGAGAGAAGCTTGTGCTCCACTACCAGTCTTACGTAGTCGTGCTTGTTCTCCTCGGTGACGGCAATGTCTCGGCCGTTGTGGCACAAGTCTATTGTGCGAGTCACGCCAAACTCGTCGTCTTCAACAGAAAAGGTCTCGGTGATGATGTCGGTGATGTCATTGTCAAGCATCCATACGAGCGACTTGTAGTAGTCTGGGTCAAACGACTCCATATCCTTGACAGACACAGACTTGCCTAGGATGCGCTTGTAGACTGCACGGCTGAAGTAACAGTCAAGAACTCGGCCCTCGTAGAGAGCTTTGCCGATGATGCGTCCGATAAACTTGAAGAACATGAGATGCTCATCGTTGATTCCGCTGAGAGAGTTGGGGTGGAATGTGGTGCGGTCGGAGGAGACGGGGGTGAAGAGTGCGTAGTTGGCGTCGAACATCTGTCTGGACAGGACCTGGAACCATTCGCGTGTCACACCTCCAGCGTCAACACCTTCTTCATTGTGGAAGCGAATGTTGAGTTTGCCGTACTTCATCTCATCGCCAGTCTTGAAGTAAAGCGACTTGAACGAGTCGTGGAAGACATGTTCGCGACGGACGGAAAGCTGGAGCGCGGGGAATGACGGCCGCTGGTTGCTGTTGGACCGGCTATGGACGCTGCGGTTGAAGTAGTTCCGCTTGTTGTCGAACTCCAATACCTTTGGATTCTTGACGAGGAGCGCAAAGGTTCCCGACATGAGCTTGGGGCTATTTCGCACGAGCTCGTTGAGGATACGGCGATGGTCCTCTGTGAAGGTGAAGAAGAGACCAGCCATGCGGTTCTCTGGGGGAGGACTGGAGAGCAGCATCTCCTTACTTGATTGAGTCTGCGCCTGAGGATCGTCGTTCATGGCGGTGTTCTTACACACCACCATGAGTGACTCGATAAGAGGCAGCAGAATCGTGGCAACATTGACCATGTTCTCCCTCTGGCGGATGGCACTGAGACAAGCGCTGAGCTTTTCCCACATGGTGGAGAAAGTAGAATTGTGATACAGGGAGGTAACGAGGTCCTGCTTCTCCGTCTTGCTTGCCTCAGCCTCCTCATTGCCAGTCTTCTTCTTGCTATCAAAGAGATGGTCCAGGGCAGTCAGAACACGAAGGAGCTTGTTCTGCTCAGATGCTCCAGGAGAGAATTTGGCAAGAGCGACTCCTTGGATCTCGGTTCCTGAGGTTGCCTTCTCAATATGAGGAAGGAGTTCATCAAGATCCGCGACGATATTCTCGCTAAGAAGACGAGCTTGGCGGACCAACTCTTGTCCGAAGGTGGCCTTGGCTCCAGGAATGGCAGACAAGTTCTTGATGGCTGAGATGGTGTTTTGGAAAGTCTTGGAGCTGCACTCACGAGCCACGAAGATCTTGACAACCAGCGTCAGGTTGTGCGGCGGAATGATCGGGACTTGCATCTGCTTCGGCCCCTTTTGGCTTGCATCCGACTTGTCGTTGCTCTTCGTGCTCTCTGCCTCCCCAGCAGCCTTGGGTTCTTTGCTGTCGACAGCGGTAGGGGGCTCTGTGGCCGTCTCAGCTGACGGGTGCTCTGTGGATGCTTCGCCAGCCTCTGCTGCGTTCTCCGCGGCCTTCTTTTTCGCGTCTCGGGCGGCTCTCTCTTGCGCATCCTTGCGCCTGCGCTCCATGGTTGCCAGGGGCACAGTGATCTTATTCAACAAATCGGCCAAGTACGCCATGACTACTGAGCTCTCCATGACCAAATCTCTGTCGAGGAGAGTGAGAAGTGAGTTGATAGCGTACTTGTGAGACTTAGAGTCCTTGGTCTTGCCTTTCCGGCTGAGCGTGCGCTTGAGAGACGACCCAACCGCCTCATGCTCCGTAAGAAACAGCATAGGAATGTGCGGGTTCTTCGCTGACAGATCCTGCAAAAGGTCCAAGCACTGGTGAACAACCATGAGAGGGGAGATTTCTGAGTTGGGCTGATGTTGTCCCGCGGGAATGAGCGATGTCAGAGTCCGCTTAAGATTCTGAGGCGTCCTCGGGTCCGTATCCTTGTCCTTGGGCTTCTTGGCCTTGAGAGAGAGCTGGCTGAAGCTACGCTCCACGGCATCCATGTCTGTGCTGCCTTCTTGGAGAATCAACAAAATGGTGCTGATGACCTCGAGGCGGTTTTGACGGTTTTCACAAACATCAGCCAGGACGCTGAAGAGATAGTTGCGGATGGAGCCGATCTGCGAAATGAACATCAGACGCAGAAGAGTGGCAACTCCAGGCTTGTCGAGCATCTGGACTACTGTCCTGCGCTGAACCTTATTCTCGTTGTTCTCCACAGAGTCAGGTTGCGGCGGACCGGTACGTCGTGCAGCTATAGGCGGGCTTCTGCCCGTGACGGCGGGATGAACGGCATGCTGTTGAGCCAGTAGGCGCGCTTGAGCAGCCATTTCAGGAGGCAAGTGGTCCATGATGTCCTCTCCTTGGTCCATGAGCACCTGCTGACGCAGTTCTGGAGGGAAAGTCAACAAGATACTAGCCGGGTCCATATCCACTGCGATCTGGTCTTGTCCTGCGGTCGTTGCCTGGCGGCGCTGTTCGTCTCGCTCGCGCCGGCGGGCCTCTTGTCGCTCTTGTTGAACTATTTCGAGGCGGAGATCCTCAGGGAGGGCATCGAGGAATTCTTGGAAGACCTCGCCTTGCTCGCCAGCGGCATGATCTTCGCGAGCCTGAGAGCGCCGGGTGCTGACGGTTTGAGCGATGACCTCCTCTCTGAACTCCTCTGGAAGAGCAGCCAGGTACTCGGGATCAATGCCAAGCTCCGTCACATCGACTTCCTCACCCCTTATGGTTGTGAGAACACGATTGGCATCGGCAGCCGCGTCGTCGGCAGAGGGCACAGCTGGCTCCTGGGTTTCAACACCTTCCATAGCATGTGGATCACCTGCTGATTGCTGCGCTTGCTGAGCAGACGCCGAGTCGCGTTCACCAGCGGCGGCAGCGGCAGCGGCAGCTTCGGCGGCAGCACGTTCTTGTTCCTCACGCTCTTCTGCCTCCTTCTTCTCGCGAGCCGCCTTCTCTTCGGCTTCCTTGGCTTCCTTGAGCCGTCGTGCCTCTTCCTCAAACTTCTTGCGCTCCTCTTCCCGGATCTTGCGTCGCTCCTCCTCCTCAGCCTTGAGCTTCTTCTCGAGTTCCATGGCCGGCGGAACAAGCTTGGAAAGGAGGAGATTGATGAGCTTCTGAGCCTTCTCCACGAAGTGAGCACCGCCAAACACCATTCTGGCTTCTTCTTGATACCGTTCAAACGTTGACTCCGGGGTGAACGCAACAGCCTGCTGAGGCTCGTGATACGTCGTTTCACGGCGGCTGTCTGCTCTAGACTCGCGAGGAGCGACGTGGTACTCACGGACCTCTCCACGTCCGTTCTGCGTGATGGATAGATGAACAGCAGGCTGTCCGCGCATGACTGGCAGGGATGCGACGAGGTCGTTAAGAATCGCGATAGGACTGTTCGACAATTGCGCCCCAGGGCCGAAAATCTCGGGAGGCAGACGCAGCCCAATCATGCCAGAACCGGGCGGGGGTCGAGGGGACGACTCTCGACCTTGACCGTTGCGGCGCAACAGAGGGTTCACACCATCGTCAACATTGTTGGGCACAGCGCTGGGCCTGTGCCGCGGCGAGAAATAGCTCCTGAACTCTCCGAGTGGATCCCGGCCGCTGCCAACCATGAAGCCAGGCGGGAATGGGCTTCGGTGTCCATGACGGTGGCGATGAACGTGATGAGGGTGACCACCAAAAGGCTCAACAACCAAGGTATCCCAGCCGAGAGCTGCGGGTAGATTAGGAGGTGGATGGTCGTGGGGGTATTCTTCTTCGTAGATGAGGTCATCTTCGTCCATGTCCTCGTCGTCGTCTTCGTCATCTAGTATTCATTAGCATTGTCAAGGGTTACACGGATGGCCGGGGTCTCACCATCGTCATCGCGCCCGTCGTCAATGTAGTGATCGCCAAGATCATCCATGTCGTCGCCTTCGTAATCCTCAGGATCCATAACGGCTCGAGCAAGATTGTCGATGATATCTCCAGGTTCCATGCCGTGCATATGGGCCTCGTCAGCATCCTGGATCTCGGCTTCGTAATCGACATCTTCGTCGTCATCTTCATCGTCCTCTTCCTCGTCTGTTTCTTCGCTCTCCCATCCCGAAGCGCCGTCGTCATCAATGGGGTTGCCGTCTTCGTCAACAATCTCTTCAACAACGTCAAGATGATCTTCCATGTCCTCCATATCGTCAGAGTCCATTTCATCGTCTTCGCTCATCTCATCGTCATCTTCATCCATGTCATCGTCTTCGTCCATAATGACCTCGACGACACCAGGTTCTCCGCGAAGACCCTCAATCTCACCCATCTCGCCAAGCTCTTCGTCTTCGTCGCTAACACCTTCACCGTCGTCGGACACGTCTTCGTCGCCGTAGTCGAGCTCGTCGCCGTACTCGTCGTCGTACATCTCTTCATCATCGTCCTCTGCAAACATATTAGTTATGCTTTACCTTGATTCAATTAAGATCTTACCGTCTTCATCTTCCGACTCGTCGTCGCTTCCACGAGGCTCAAGCATGCCCAAAGCGGAGTTGCGGTAGAGGTCTGGCGTTTCCTCTCTATCGTCATCCATGTCGGACATTGAAGATATAGAGATAATCTCATCGTCCGCGGTCTCAGGAAGAGATGCCGACGGAAGGACGTGGGAGCGGCTCAGTTCCTTGGCAGTGTCTGTCAACACGCGCAGCACTCTGAGTACATACTTAATGGCACGCTTGACGCCCGCGTGGCCCAAGTCAACCTCGGCAATGGAAGAGGTCAGCTTGTCGAGGTAGCCCTTCTCATACATCATCCTGCGCAACTGGGCTTGCGATCGTCCCTGAGGAGAGTCCAGCGCACGTTGAGACGTCGACTCCTTGTCCTTCTCACCGATGATGTGGTTCATCAATTCAGCGAGACACTGCATCTTGGCGTAACGCGTGTCAATGGGCTCCTCTGGGGTAGCGGCACGCTCATAAGCCTTGAGGATTGTGTCTAGAACGAATTTGCGGACAAAGAGCAAATCAGGCTCATCATCATACTCGAAACGGTCGCGGTTCTTGTCGACGCCCTTTTCTCCAGTTTTGGCTACCAATGCAACCAGTACTTGTTGGGCCTGGGCAGATGTTGCTGCTTTCTTCTTGGACAGGATGCTATCGCCGCTGTCGCTGAGGCTGCCTTGACAAAGGAGGTCGTGAATGAGGTAGTTGAGGACACTTGACCGAGGCTTGACAGGCGTGTTCGTCTGCAAGGGAGCGCTTCGTTTGAAGTTGATGAACTCGACCTTTGTTTGATTGTAGCTTTGGAGAAGTTCCGCAATGCAGTTGAGCAGGAAACAGCGGTAGATGAAGATAGGATGATCCTCCGCCTTGAAAACGGGCTTGGAGGATTTCTTGTCCTTGTCCTTGTTGTCCGCAACGTCTTGGCTGTCAGTAGCGACGTCTTTAGATGCGCTCTCCGGGGTTGAAGTGCTAGCAGATGGAGTGGCCTTCAGATCCTTCACAGGTTGTGATGCCTCCTTGTCGTCAACCTCGCGATAGTTGAGTAGCTCACAGAGGAGGAAATGGATGATGCCGTGGGGATTTTCGACAACCGGACGCTTTGATTCCGCTGGCTTCGGTGCATCAGCCATCTCCTTGTCGTCCATCTCGGTTGACTGCTTGACATCATGGATAGACAAGTCTTCCGTAGCCTGTACAGCAGGTTCCACGCTCGCATCCTTGACTGTCGTAGCGGTGTTGCCCTCCGTCTCAACGTCCTTGAGTGCTAACTGATGGGCCCGCGTACTGCCCTCGCTTCCCGGAACATAACGAGAAAGCTTGGTCAACTCATTGGTAACTTCCACGAAAAGATCTGGAGACCGCAGCGCGAGCGGTGCCATGTTGCGCAAGTAGGTGCTGAGATCCAGATTTCTCTGAGTACGCTGGGGGTTTTCGAAGAGGCTGCGCACCTCAGCACGCATGATTTGCTTGAGCGTCTCTTCATCCTCGACAATGTGTCTCAAGATAGACATGATGCTGCCAGTGGTCTTCGTCTCTTTCAAACGAGCGGCACCTGCCCCTGCAAGTTGCTTGGCCATAACAAACAAGCGCTGGAGATTCTTCTTTTCTCCAACCTTCTGCGCGATAGAGGGCTTGCGCGTGAGAATAACAATCACGCGAAGGACGGAGGTGGCAAGTGTCTCCTCCTTTCCAAGAACAGGAAGCAGACGAAGTATAGCCTCCAGCAAGTCATTGCGCTGACTGTCCGAGACAATTGGGTTGCGGGGAGGAAGGACCGCTGGCGTAACAGCCTCATTTTCAGTGGCAGGCGGTTTCCATTGGGCCTCAATCGGCTGCTCATCGTATGACAAGAGCAACTCGACGATCAAGAGAATGTATGGGATCCAAGGAGGCAGTTCTTCGTTTGAAGTAGGCAGAACCTTGAGGTTAAGGAACGACACGTACTCGTCGACCTTCTCTCTCAACGTATCAATGTTGCACTTGAAGAAGCTCTTTTCTTGCATCAAAAGAGCCAATAGATGAGCATAGGCAGCGATGCTAGTTCCGTTAGACTTAGACTCAGTATCGTCGAATGACAGTGAAGTAAGGGCGTTGGCCAAGGTTGCGCCAACCTCATCCCGAACTTCATCATTTTGCTGGCGGAAGACCATAGCGCTGATGAGCTCCGAGAGCTCAATCGCCGACTGTGGGTGTGCTCTGACGATGTCCAGGGATCGGTCGATGAGGTTTTCTCGCAATTTCGTCCGCTCATTGTCGAGTTCTTCTTTGGCTGTCAACCGGGTCTCTGTCTTTGTCTCCTCAGGGGGGTTTGCTGGCGCAGAGGTGCTAGACCTTGCTTGAGTTTCGACGGCCCCTGCAGGGCTTTCGGTATCAGCAGCGCTCCACTCAGCCGGCGGTGCTGGCTCTGCCTGGTCACCCAGCCCTGCATCATCAAGGATACGGTCCAAGACTGCTCCGGGCCTGCTGGCGAGGTCCTGTTCGACATCGACAGCCATAGCGTCTGCGTCGGTGGGAGCTGCAGAGGCTGGTGCATCTTGCTGGCTAGAGGATCGCGATGGCTCGGGACGAGCAGGCGGCGCATACGCATCCTCGGCCGGGATGGGATTGCGTCGCCCGGCCTTGCCAGCCTTGTGAAGGCGGCTGTACTCGAGAGCCCATGATTGATTGCCGTTGGCTCTAAAGACTGCCTCACGAGCAAGTTCTTCATCGGCGCCATCCTCGATCAAGGAGTCGATCAGCCCGGTGTGGTTTTGCCAGCCAAAGGGAACTGCAGTCTTCTTGAGGACCTCAGACACGGGCTTGTCCCGGGTGGAGCCTTCATTTTCGGCGGTGGAAATGATTTTGAGGATCTCGATGATTTTGGCCACCGCCTCAGGCCGCAGCTTCTCGATCAAAGTGGTCTCCCAAGTCTCGCGGATCACTGGGAGGACGGCCATGCGAACCTCAACAACAATCTGGTGGGAAATTGGCGTCTCGGGGCGTCTCTCGGATGTTCGAGGAAGAAGTGAGAATTGCGTCGTAGAGTCTGCAATGTTTTTGCCATTGACGAGTGCAGCAAAGAACTCGAAAATCTTGCCGAGTCCAAAAGAGGCAACCCTGGCACTGGCAGTGGTGCCCGCGTCGGAATCGCCAGATTCTTTGCACATCTCTGACTTGAAGCGTCGAACCATTGAAGTGATAACCTCGAAGCCGCCCTGCTCTACGAAGGCGATCAACACTGGCATAATGATCTGAACCGAAGATCGGTCGGCGGAAGATCTGGACGTGTCCATCAGCATCTCCGTCAGAGTGTGGAGCATGATAATCCAGTAATGATACTCCTTCGCCGTGGGCTCAGTCAAGGCGACAGAGGGTCTCAACTGATCGAGAATTGTTGCGGCAACTTGCCTAGCAAGATCGACATGCTTTGGCCGAGAGTAGCCGTCTCGCTCGCGGCGGGGGAAGAGTGCCTTGCCAAGCTGCTGGAAAAAGGGGAACGTCGACGGCACCATGGAATGAAGAAGAATGCGCAAGGTTTCGTAGTTGCGATACCTGGACGTGGCTTGCTCCTGTTTGGTAGGCACCTTGTGCTGAAGACTACTTGGGCTCGCAGTTTGAGCGGTGGTTGCGGCTGTACCAGATGCATTGTTCTCTGGCGCGGTACCATTCTCCGTATCGACTTCCGCAGTCACTTGGGGAACCGTGACATCGCTTCCGGGTGCCGGCCGCTTAGCCCACCAATGTTGAGGAAGCACATTGTGCTCAGCACCTTCCTCGGCCAATACAGCCTTCAGAAGAGGTCCTAGTGACTTCAACAAGTCTAGATAGTAATCAAAGACGTTGATAGCATACAACTGAACCGAGTTGGAGCGCGGCGACGACGTAAAGCACTCGTAAAGTGTCTTGATCAGCGACTGTGCAGTAAGCAACGCCTTGACCATCTTCGTGCCTTGCAGGACGAGGTCCTGAGTCTCCGCATCGAGGCTGCGGACTTCCTCGACCGTCAACTTGTCGTCGGGGCTGAGGAATGGGGCGAAGAAGGGAGTGTCCTTCTTGTGCTCGGCAAGCGGTCTCAGAATCTCCACTGAAGCTTGCGCGCGCTTAAGAAGGGACGGCAGACCAAGAACCGGGGAGTGTTCAACTAGCTGTGAGATGACGAGATGCAATGTTCTAGAAGCATGGGAGTCGCAAAAGTCATGCGGCAAACTGGGAAGCTCCGCAATGTCCAGCAACAGCTCAATACCACCATTGCTGATGAAGTATGTCTTGAGCGTGTTGTTATTGAAGTACGCCGAGAGGAAGCTGGACAGAGCGTAGACGTAGGGGGTGATGTCGTCGTAGGCAGTAGCAGACGGAGACGATTCATTGCCTGCGGGCTTCTCCGCCTTTTCTGATGGCCCAGCCGCATCCGACATTTCCACGTCCAAGTCGGTCTGTGCGGCCTTCTCCTTTTCTTTTGACCCAGAGGCATCAAGACGGCTCCTCAGGCTCTCGTCCGCTGCAACAGGCTTCTGCGTTCCATCGTTCAAAAGGAGCTTGGCACCCCAGTTCGCAGTCTGAGCCTTGTAAATGCCGAGGGATCTGACTCTGGCAACCATATCAATAACCGCATTCGAGATCGGGCGTCTCAGGTGAGGATGATGTCTTGCAAGCTCGTCGAAGCTAGCACCGACATTACTGGCGAGATGCGGGTCGGTCTCCATTGTGTTGACGTGGGTGGGACTCTCAAAGATTTCCAGGAACGACTCAAAAGCTCGCGAGGACACCACCATCTTGAGACCGGCATTGTTAAGGCAGATGGAGTTAAGAACCTGCGGAACAACGTTGATCGCGTCGGATGTGGGCAGAATACCCCGGGCCAAAGGACGATCGTGTGAAGAGGCCAGTTCGTCCTGCGGAGGCGGGTGAGGTCTCTTATCATCAGATTCAACATGGACGGAAGCGTCGGAGGAATCGGGACTGCTGCCGTCCTCGTTGTCGCCACGGCTTGCGGCTTCCTGCTCCTCGGACTCTGGAGGGGGCTGCACAGCTGGCTGGTTTGTGACAGGCTGGTTGGTGATTGCTTCGAGGTAGCTCACGATCATGCCAGACTCGGAAATAGCAGCAAAGCTCGTGGGGTCATTGTTAATAAAATCGCTGAGAACGGTTACCGTGCTAGTCCAAAGGACCGAACCGAAGCGCTTGGTATTCTGCATAATGTCTCGGAGGCTTCCGAGCAGTTCCGACTTGTCCACGAGGTTGCGCAAGAGTCTGTCGGTGTTACCGCCATAGCTGTAAGAGTTGGTCATGATGTGATGAATGAACTTGAGGACCCATTTCAGGGTCTGCTGCTGGTTGTAGGGGATTTCATAATCGACGATTTGGCTCTGATTTTCAGGCTTGTTTCCTTTGCCTGCCTCAACCAACTGCTTCGCCTCCACGACAGTGGTGACCAGCAGGTCAGAGATGGCATCAAGACCGGAACCGTTGAAAAAGCTCTGGAAGGCATTCTGGTAGGACCAGATCAAATTGTCAATGAAGGAAAGGATCATCATCTGGTTGCGCTGGGCAACGTCGGATCTTATCTTCAAGATCTCCACCAAAATGTCCATGAGACCTGCGGTCACCATCTCAGCACCAATTCTAGTAGACATGGCAAGGTGAGTCGTCAGAGAGAACAGCTTTGTCCGCCACTCATCGACTTCCGTTGTTTGAATGCCGCGATCGGGCTCATCCGTCTTCATTCCAGCAACTGCCTTGCGAATAACATAGAGCAGAATGCCGTGGTTGACGTTGGCATTAAGTGCTGACAAGACATCCTGGTATCGGGCCGCAAAGTTCGAGATGGCCTCAAGCAAGGCCAGAACGATGGACTGGAGCCAAAGGGGTACTTGGATTGAGCCATCAGCAGGCGGGTGAATGAGCTCCGCCAACTGGTAGGCAAGCTGGTAACGTCTGGTCTCATCGTTGTCGTGACGCAGTACCTTCTCGACGAACGTGGTCTCTGGATGGATGTACGCGAGGTTGTTGATCGCAAGTAATCTGATGGCTAGGACTTGCTGCCTTGATTCGGTGCTGCCCAAGAGAGCCTTGGCAACTCTCAGCCGGTTGAGGACCTCATATTTGGCAGAAGCCGGCATGTCGGCCGGACATCTCGAAAGCAGATCGTAAATAGAAGTAGAGGCAACGACTGACTGCGGAAGGTCAAAGATTCTTTGACTTGAGCTGGCGTGATCGTTGGTTGTGCCGGGGCTCCGAACGCTCAAAGGCGAGGTGTCGTCTGCGGCAGGCTGACGGGCCGATCTGGGCGTGTTATGTTGAGATCCAGCCGTCGTGCTGCGTCTCAGAGGAGTAGGCGTAGTAGGGACACTAGACGCAACCCGATCCGCAGGCATAGGAACAGGCTGTTCGCGAGTTGTTGAAGGTGCAGTGTAAGAGACCTTGATGTCCCCCCAACCATGCCAACGTGCGTTGTCAGTCGTCAGAACAGAGCCCAGGTCGTTGGCGAACATGACAGCAGCGTTCTTCTGGCTCGAAACCTGGGCCTTTTCCTTGCCTTTGGAAGCCGATGTGGGTGTGCTAGTAGCCACGGGATCCGATAGGCTTACGATGGGAGTCTTGGCGAAGGGGAGGGCAAGAGTGTGGACACGATCCAGATCGATCTGGTAATGGTTACCCAGAAGTGCAGTACTGACGGTGCGCGAAGCATTTCCTATGCGCTTGACGGAAGCCTGGTACCGCTGAGCCAGCTCGGAGCTGACGCGAAGGGTGGCGAGCAGAATGGACAAGACTGTGGTATTGAGCAGCTTATTCAGGACCATGCTGCTGGAATAGATGCTCCGGTTGCCACAATGCTCAAGCAGCACACGGGTGAAGTTGAGGACAGCCTCGATGAGTTGTCTGTCGCCATCTTGGTTGTATCCCAACTTGGAGAGCCGCTCGGTATCCCATGTCTCGTCGCCGTACGATTCGGTCTTGGTACCTGTGTTGAGAAGCAGCTCGCAAGCGAAGTCGCGGCCTTGAGGGCCCTGGTCGAGGCCGTAGGTGGTGCAGAAGCAGTCCAAGATGTTGTCGAAGCGGTTGAGAAGTGGGATCCAGTGGTAGAGATCGCCTCTGGGGAAAGGCCATCTCGTCGGAAACTTGGCTAAGTGTTCTGGGAGGAGGGGCAGGGGTGTCGAGCATGCCGACGTGACGAAGTCCTTCAGCCATGGAGACTGGGCGAGGTTAGCAAGGCGACGGGCAAGTGAGGGGGGTCTGCGAGTTGGAGAGGAACTAACCAAAGTCTCGGCATGCTTAGGCTGCATCTGCTTCGTTATCTTCCCCATCGTGGGCGAGGGCGGCCAAGCCGCAGGTTCATAAGTGCAGCCTTGCTAGCTAGCCGTGCCGTGGAAAGAAGTCTCGTTCGCGCAACAGGGTATGTCGTAGGCGGTGGCGCAAACGGAGTGGTCGCGAAAAACGAGTATCTCTTTGGATGGCGTCAAGGAATATTATGAGAGACGTTAGGAGTTTTGCAGTGGAGAAGTCGAAAGAAGGCGACCGGGTGATGATGGGAGAGCTCGGGTAAGGTCGATACAGAGGTGCAAGGCCGAAGGTGCAGGACGTCCTTGCAGGGCCACTGTACAAACAGCTTCGCCGAGCGGTCAGTTGAATCGTTGGCAGGGTACGCGTCGCAAGGAAGGTGACAGCGATTCAGAGCTAGCAGCAGAAGGCTAGAACAGGTCGTCGGTCGCAACGAGTGTCGGGTGTTGGAGGCGGGAGGAAGGAAAGGTGGAAGGCGAAAGGTGGGATGAGATGTTGGAGAGTTTGGTGGAAAAAGAAGTTGCAGATGTCAAATCGGTATGGAAAGGTAGGTGCGGTTACAGTGGGCCCTTTGCGTAATAGCAAGGAAGGTAGAGGTAGAGGTGGGAGACACTACTAGGTCCCGGTCTGGCAGGCACCTCAGGTATTAGGTAGCTTCCAAGGCGGGCAGCTCTGAACAGGTGTAAAACGTGGAGGCACTTAATTTTTTTTCCCTCTCGGTTGGACTGGCCTGAAGAGGTGTCTAGGGCCAGTGGTGTGTTGCGTGCACCACCTCAGTCATCCATTCGATCAGCTAGAGCGTGTGTTGGGAGAGAGAGGAACCTGGAGCGGTACTGGCTCATTGGTTGGTGCAGACCAGACGGCGACGCAGATGGACGGCAAGCAGGAGCAGGCGGCAGGCGGGATGTTTTGGCGGGCAGCAACCTCGCTCGCCTCAGTGAGAGCCGACCGGGGACACTGTGTAGCAGTGGGCTGCCGGGCGGTAAGGCTGGCCAGGAATTGCGGCCGGACACAGTGAAAGCGGGACGATGGACGGAGATGAAAGAAGGATAGCGGGGGAGGTGCGCGCACGGTCCATTACACGCTTGACTTTTTGGAAAGAACGCGGTCGAAAGAAGGCAACCACCTCGGTACGTACCGAAGGACCGACCAGCAAACAGGAGGGCCGGGACATCACCTCAGTCACATCGCACTTGCAGAGGCAGTTAGTTCTTTCCTTATCATGCATATGCTCCATAGATGTGTGCCTAACATTCAACATTCTTTGTCACAGCCCGAGGAAAAAATAGTGAGAGGGAAGGGAAAAAAAATCATGGATAAGGTAACAGGTATCTGCCACCTCATCTCAAATTTTGCCAGCCCATGCGCTGGCCATGTCACTTAGCGGGGCAGCTAGCCGGCTGGATACCTCAGCTAATGTGAGTTGAGGCAAGTACACAATGCGCTGTATTTCTGGAAACCGCCTTGCTTTAGTATACACGATTCAATGACATCTGTTCTGATCGATTTGCGAAGGTAAGTATACTTATCATGGCTGTTTCCCCGAATTGAAGTCCACGTCCAATCCGCTTCGTCTTTCAGCGTTGCGAGCGATGGCCTCAGTCAACTTGCAAGCATCAAAGTGCAGTAGGATATGACATAACACTGGATCTCTTGAACCCCACATCCTACGTAGGTAGTGTATGTAGACCGGCGTGCAATGATAAATCACAGTCACAAAAACCCAACGGCACAGGCCAGTGTCATCATTGGCTTGTCAGCTTGTCTGCCTTGTTGCCCAATTCTTGCACTTTTAAGCCAAACCCAAACTTACTCTCCATTCTGAGTCATTTGTCTGCCTGGAATTACTGGTACATGTTTCTGCATGGGCCGTGACGCATAAAACACCTTGATGCCGGAGAAATGTGTTGTGAGAGAGATTTGAGAAAGTTCACGAGGTTTGCCTATGCATGTGTGTGTTGTCAGTCCTACTACCCAAGTTCTAGACGCTATCAAGTTGCAAAACGAACTAGACAGTCGTCTCACTACACTTAAATCAAGGCTTTCAAGTCTTTCTTTATTACAAGCTATCTTTCTGCAATCTATATTGTTGAAAGCTGCAGTTGATTGAAAATTATCTCGGAACGCCGCGAAGAAGAACCACATGTGCTGGGTTCCTGCACCTAGACCGTTGGCACGTGTAGGACAGCATTGGCTAAGAAAAGACAAGATACCTACTGTGATGATCTTGTCAAGACAAGCATGGATGTCTCATTGCTTATCCAAACAAGACTGGTTCGCCTGCTCTCCTCGCCAACAGGGTGTATCTCTTTCGTCTTTTAGACAAAGTTTTCATCTAGTCAGTCGCAGAAGCGATCTCAGCATCAACATGAGTGAAGGCCTATCGTAATCTTATTGATGAGTCAGGCAAGTTGGGTATGGCAGCAAGCAGCAAGGCTTATGAGGTTCGTGTGCTCAAGATACGAACCCCACCACCATGTAGTCCGCCATCTGACCGGGTCGCATCGCACGTAAGTTTCCCAGAATTTTAAGAAATCAATGTCTCGCATGTTAGTAGAGTTCCTTGAGAATTATTGAATAGCAATGCTAGTAGTCAAAGTAAGCGTGCCCTTCTCAACGAGTTCAGACGAATCTCCAAACGCGAGTCAAGAAAGCCTCTCGACTCGCGATCCATGAAAGTCACGCTTTTGACTCTTTCGCGATCTCATTGGCGTAGTTTCCCTCTAGCTCATTGTTTCCATCGGAACCATCTTCACATCTCCTGGTCATCGCCAGCACATGACATCGAGTGGCTGAAGAGCAACAGCCTCCAACCTCTGGGCACTAAACAATGGCGCTCACGTGGCTCGCGCCCAATCTTTGGATGTGGCTGGTGCTGTTCGAAGAGGTGATTTGCGAGTGGCACTGCAGCATTCCAATACCGTTAGACGAGACGATGAGTGCCGGCGGCGAGTGTGAATCAACCAACAGGGGACGGTAGCCCCCACGAGCCAAGGCAACGTGAAGGATGGAGCCTCCCTGAGTGCCAAGGCGGTAAAACAAGGTCGAAAGGTGAAGTCCAAGGCAACGGCAGCCCACCGGCTTCTTGGACGGCAGCAGAAGCGCCCTCGGTGCGGTCGACCGCCGAGCCGGCTCAACCAACACAGCAGAGAAGACGCGGCGTCACGCCGGACCTGCGGGCCCTCGGAAAGGGGAAAAGGGCAGGGGCGGATGAGATCTACCGCCGATTGCAACGGCGCAGGAATCTGCAGATCACACCAATGGGGAATGGCTGGAGATACGGGCGTTCTACACTGGGAGCCGCTGGCTAGATGAGACAAAGGCAAGTACCGGGCATGTATCCCGCCATCCCCGATGCTGTGCTTTCAGCGGCGAGCCATCGTGCCATCCAACAGACTTGTGCTGCAGGGGCGGCGGCTGCTGCTGGGCTGAACAAGCCCGTTTGGAGACAAGCTCGTCTCGGGAAACGCCCACGCATGCTTCAGAGAGAAACAAACAAACAAAAAAAGAAGCAAGGCGTAATGCTTGGCCTCGTCAGCCTGCCTGGCCTTCGTTTCTGGTTGCTTACTGCGTACATGAAGACAAGCTGTCGTGAGTGGTGTCGTCCGATGTAGGTAGCTCGTTTCCCTTGGGGAATAAACTCTCATTTCTACCAATATTCCACGAACGTAAGCATTGATGGCATTGATGACAATGCGCCCAAGGTCACCACAAGGCCCAGACCGCTTGTTGAGGGCTGATGAACCAGCATAGAGATAGCAGTGGTTCCGCCTCAGCAGTGCCACAGAGAGAAACAGGAGAAACAGAAGCTTCTGGGGGGCTGAAAAGGGCAGGAAGAAGGGCGCGGGAAATGGTGGGCAATTATCAAGAAACACCAAGTTCCCTGCCGCGTCGATCCCAGCAATTTCCTTTGGCCGGGCCTGGTTGAAGGGCCCTGTCGTTCGTTGTGGCATTTCCCCCTCTGAGAGCTTGTGAGTGCGGTGGAGGTGACGGGGGATGGCTTGCGAACCTGGAAGTTGCTGAGAGCCCGTCCCAAAGATGAGGCGGCATTGGAGGAGGAACTCGAAAGTCACGGCAGCCAGACCCCCGAAACAGAGAACGATCCCGTGCCGTAGCGGCACGCTAGCCTGCCACTGGCCGGCCGTTTACTGGACGTTTCCCCCCCTTTCCCCTCCCTAACGTGTGACCCTGGCCCCCAGCGCGAGGCCGGTGGTGGAGCTTGCTCAGGGTGCTGGGGACCGACACAGGGGATACTTGATGATTTCGAGCGAATACGGGCACGCTTCTGGGCCACCGCAATCCACCTCACTCAATTGAGGTGCTGTCAAGTGAGAGGTTTCGCTTCTGAAGAGGGCCATGCTGATATTTGGTGGGCGCATTACAGCCTGTAGGTACATTTCCCAGGTCTCCATCTGCGGTGAGGCTCAGCTTCGATTCCCCGTAACCCATCTCACCCAGCCAGAAGGAAAAAAAAAAGGGAGGGAGACGCCTACCTACCGTAAAGTGGCTATCAACCCTCGACCCTCGAATCCTCCTCTGTCCTTTGACTCTCAACTCACCCGTCGTCCTGGCAAGCGCAACGACACAAAACAACACAGCACATCCCCGCGAGCACCTTCTCTGCACCCCACGATACACAACAAAAGCTGTGTCCTGCAGCCTGCACCTGGCCACGAGTATTCTTCAGCAGCAGCAGCACAGACGACACAGTGTACATTGCCGTTGCCCAGTGCTGGACCCCATCTCCATGGCCACCGCCTAGTTTCAAGTTCGACCTTGACCCGAGGACTCCCCAAAACCGCTGCACTCCTCCACGAACCTGTACGAATACCCCAAATCGCGGTCTGCGAGAGTTGACCTGCAATTCTCGACGACACCATGTCCCAGCCAGACGAACCCGTCAAGTCTCCGATCACGGCTACCAAGGATAAGAGGCTATCGATCGATTCCGACTCCGACTCGGACAAGGAGAATGTAACACCCCCCGTCCTCCCTCCAGACACGTCCGAGCCCTTGGGGATCCTCT